GCAGCGGCGCTGGTGAAAGCAGTAATGGCAATGCCCTACAACAAAACCCAGGGGTGGGCGCGCTTTCCCTCCTGTTCTCGCGCAACGGAGACGCGCGACTGGAGCTACCGACTATCGCTTCCGCTTGCAGCTGAGCGTATTCCTCAGCGAACGAACCAATCAATGAAGCCAGCGCCGAGCACCCGCTGAACCATTCGAAGAGGAACAATCGAGGAGGCAACAGGCAACATCCATCATCGCGACGCCCCCGACCAATGACGATCTCCGCCTTTGCTCTTCGAGGGTCAGCGCGAGGCCCCCGAACCGATTGATGACATGCAGCCGCGAAGACTCGATGCCCCATCAATCAGCTGCCCAGAAGGAAAGTGAGGATTTTCAGGCAGTTGCTCCGGGTCGGAGGATTCGAAGGCGGGGCTTCAACCGGCGACGATAACTGAGCGAGGAACGACGCTTCCGATTAGGAAACGTTGAGGAACGAGAATCGCGATCCCTGGGCCTAATCATTCTCCCTATTTTAGCGCAAGCGGCGATAAAGCGAGCAGTCCGCACGGAGGGCACCCGCTCATCCTCGGATAATGGGGACGACCTCCTTAGGTGCGTCAAGGAAAGAGGAATCTCCTTTCGTGACTGTCCTCGTCCTCAGAGTTCCATTAGACTGGGATTCCGATTTTCGATTTCCTGTCGTCTGACCATACGCCTGCAGACAGAAAGTTCGAAGTCCGGGAGTGAATAGATCCAATTATCCAATCAATCATGGATGCTCTTCCCGGCAGGCATGCGCGATCGATGAGTCTGAAGTCCGTATTCCGGATGGAGGAGCTTTATACCTCACGTCGGAAACAGTGGGTACCGATACCGATTCATGCGCCGCCGCGTACAGGATGGTGATTCAGTTATTTCGAGATATACAGTGGTACCTCGACTTACAATCGTCCCGACTTACGAACGATTCGACTTACGATCCTTTTTTATAGAAGAATTTGTTTCGACTTCCGAACGATTAATTCGACTTGCGTCCGATTTTTCGGGACGAATGATTCGCGGTTGTCGCTCGACTCGCTTTGAATTAATATGTACACAACTAATGAACTGGGGTTTTGTTGTCGATGAATACACATTTCGCGGTCCTTCCACCCCGCTCTGAGCTGATCAATCGCCCCACTATGGGAAATTTTGTTTCGATTCACGATCTTTTCGACTTACGATCGGTCTCCGGGAACGGATTAGTATCGTAAGTCGAGGTAACACTGTACCGGCCTTTGCATGTTCCAGTCCCCCGTATGCTCAATCGAATCCCCTCCATCCGAGCTCCGGGACTCTCGGTGTATGTGGAATCAGAATCCAGCGAACGGGACATATATGCAATACGAGGACATATATTCGGCCAAGACCCAATAGCCAGAATGCATCCTATTTTCCCATTCCTTCCGAGAGCCCCGTTCGAGGACTATGAGCGCATGCGTCTCGAACTGTTCCATCGTAGAAGTTTCAAGAGTTCTGGGATGTTAGAGTTAGAATAAGGACCACAGCCCGATATCAATCTTTGCGACAGGGTTCAGCCGCAGGCGGTGGGCGCTTTATTTCATGAGTTTTCTGTCGATTTGCTTGAGGCGGGCTCTCCGCAATTACCCGACTCATAAGAGAGAACATAATATGCACTAGTATTCGTCCTGTTCCTGTTCCTATGGCGACGTCTGTCTATGAATTCCCGGCTTGCGAACAGCTCCGGGCTCATCCACCCTGAAAATTGAAATCAGAACACTGTGGGATCCGCCCAGTCAGTCACGGGATCGATCGCTTCTGGCTACTATATGCGCCTGCTCTCGGCGGTGTTGAGTTTCCAGTTCAATGCCGAGGAGAATCAACATTCCTCTAACCAGTACGATAAGATTTCATTCGGTTACATTGTCAGAAGTAGCTTAAACGTATATCGTTAAATAAAATTAGAGAGGAGAGTCCAAGGATACATCTTGCTCTGCCCCCGAGGGAATCAGCTAAGCCCCTTGTTCAGAACGCACCGCGTCTCCCTCCAACAGGGAATCGATGAGCGCCTTGTAGACATCCTAAACCACCATCCGCCCATGAGTTATGCGGAGACAAAAATTTTGTTCTAGCGTCCATCATTCCTCTTCCGAGACCCTTGATGATTCCGCCTATGATCTAGGCCTCTGAACTCTCACCTCCCGCGATGCACCGAACGTCCACGTCGATGAGGTTCTCAGTGTCCGTGATGGCGCCGACCCTACTTGCATGGATTCTTCGGCTTTCCCTCAAATGTCCTTGAGGTAACTCTCCAGTCTGGGTTCGGCATTCCTCCCGCTGTCCAAGTCGATTGGGCCGTGCATGGAGGCTGCACCTACTGAAGGCATTCGAGGGATCAGAGAACTGAATCTCTCTCCGAATAATGCTTCCTCCTTCACTATAGATTGCGGAAGATCGCTCCCCTCCCAATCAAGATACAGTACACCATCTGAGCTCCGGAATCATCATCCTACTCGTGTCTCTCCGTCTCTTGGCCCTTCCATCAGGTTTCTGAATGAAATAGTTCCGATGAGATAGCGACCCTTCTCGACTCTGTTGCTCCATCGGCGCAGACGACGCCGACGGCTGAACATGTGCTGAAGGAACAGGCGCTATTGTCAGTTGTGAGACGTTCGATACGAATCGTTTCGCGTACTTTCCGTGAAATACGAGCCTTTCCTAGTGTTGAGCACACTTCCTTGAGCCCCCTCAGAGCAGCTCCTGCTCTCGCATCCGATTCGAGAGGAACTCGTTGCGAGGGTCCGAATTCAGAACCTGATTGCGTGCCGAGGGTGCTATAGACTATAGGGTATACCTCGTTCCGTAGTTGTCAAGCCGCTGAGAGGCCCAGGGAGTCGATTGGTCCGAGTCCCTGAAGCCGTACCAGAACCCGAAGGTCCCCTGTTGTCATGATTCAATGAATCGATCAGGGATGAGGGTGAGATGATACCTCAGCGATTATAACTGGGTGAGACTCTGGTGGCCCAAAGAGAGCGCATCACGCGATTCGCATTCAGATTGAAGACACCGGAAAGCCTCTTAATTATGGAAATGGATTATGGAGAATTTCTCGGAAATCGAGAGAATGCCTCATACCTATATCTAGACATTTTTGTATTCCGCCTCGATTTGGTTGGAATCGCTGATGCCGTTGGGAATGATCGACGCCGGGTGATAGGGAAGTGACCCGGGAAAGCACGACCCCAGAGACCGCGGACACAGAACTATCTCCGAGTATCGATGAGCTCGACTCCGGTTCGGGCGCTCGAGGAAATGCCCTCGCAAATCCTCGCATTCATCGTTGGACATTCGAACTTTGCGAGTTCAAGCTCGGATCGCCGCGACTCTGGATAGTCTAGATCAGAGACTACGGACTCTATGGATGGGGGCCCAATCCCGAAAGGCAGAACCGTCAGAGCCAGAATGGATTCTCCACCCTTCAGTCAGGATTGGACGAATATGACGGTTTTCGACCGCGGTCCCGGTGTTGATGTGATCAGGAAGATGATGATCGTGCGCGACTCTTCGGAACCAGTCGCATCTTGCAGCTGATGCGATTAGGCTCACGGCTTTCCTCCGTTCATGATATTCAGCTCGAGGCCGGAACGAGGACGCGGATGGGAGAGGCTTTCGGCGTGGCTTTCGATTTTGAGAGCTAGAACTCGAGAGAGATGACTCCAACGATATACCAAAATTAGGCCTGGAATACTACAATGTATCCGCAAGATGAAATCTTTGTTCCTTTCTTGCAGGCAGCTCGATGCTAAGTCTGGTTCGAGACGTGTGCCGAACCCAGGCGCGAGATTGGAGTCAACGTGACGTCAATACGATTCCACGGCAGCTGGACAACCGGGAGAAGCTCCTCTCCGTTCTGATGGAGACGAGAACGTTTTTCTATTCTCAACCTAGAATCAATCGAAGCTTCCGAGCCATTTTCTCGATCAAATCCATCCGATCTTCGGTCCCTGCCAAAGTGTAACGATCCCTGTCCTTATGAGGAGCATTTCACGCATCTTGTATACCTTGGTCTCAGACACCACTAGCGACAAGATATTCGCGCACCGATACTATGCAATGTGAGAGAGTGATCGTTCCTGTGTGTTCGTCCTTCGTAAACTTTTCCAGTCGCCAACTCCCCCAAGCTTGTCCCATCGGGACTCGAAAGTGTGGTGCGGTGAGCGGAGCCAGAATCCGTCTTTCAGTCCTCGGATCAAGTTCTGAGACCGCGTCCCGAACGGTCATGCTGAGTCCATAGATCGCTATCATTCGCTTTGCTCGAGCAGAGACACCCTACCATAATCGATCGAGCGCAGCTCGCATTTCGGAGAGAACTTCCCTGGGTCTCTCACAAGTGCCCCGAGTCTTTAGTTCTCGAGTTGCGGTTATTCCGCACACAAGTTCCCCATTGAGGCTTCTGATCCCTGCGGTTGAATCCTCAGTCCCACCGAAGCCGCTGCATAGCCGCGTCGGTGTTGGCATGCGGGCGAAATCAGCTGCAAACTCCTTAATCGCTTCTGAGCACACAATCAGGAACGTCACTGTTCGAATTCCGACGCCGGATTTAGAAAGAGACGCTTTTGTTGACACGGGCGCACGTGCGTCAAAAACAGACTGCGCGCGCAGACACGCTGCATACTCTCCGGAGCAGACCCCAAGTCGTCAGCCCGAGGAGCCTCGCCATTGGCCGACTTCTCGAACCTTCGCTGGAGAGTGACCCAGACCGTGGCATGAAATAGGGGACCTATTTACGTTTTACGCGCTCTGACTTGGTGACTATGCGAGACTTGCTCAAAGTCGGCAATACATCGCGAGTTCAAACCTATTTTTCTTGTCGAAGCCGGAGGAGCCTCAGAAGCTCTTCCGTTTTCCGTCAGATCACGCTAGACTGTTTCTCTATCCGGATCACGGCATTGCTCTTGTGAGTTTTATAAATGTGCAAGAATTCTTCAGCCACGATAACGAAATCATTAAGAGAGAGTATGCCATCTCAGAGTTCGAGTTCTTCATCAGCGAATGGGCTGATTTCGCCCATCCGACCCGTCCGTATCACGAGGGGGAAGAGTGAAAGCGTGATGGTAAACGAGGGCTGCTTTGTAAATCTGTGGAATCATTTGGGCGGCAGCGTCACGCTTACCGAAACCAGGCGCTTCTACGATATAAAAGCTAATGCTTACGACGAGGAGATGACTGAATTGAACTATAAAGGCCCGAAAGTAATTTTCGAGAAATTCAGGGAGCTGCGTATAAGCCGAGGAAGCCGAATCCTGGACGTTGGTTGCGGTACGGGCTTGTTGGGCGTCGAGCTTAAGGCTGCCGGCTTCTGCCAGATCCACGGCATTGACATGAGCTCTGAGATGCTCCGTATCAATCGGAAGAAGGGATCATACTTGAGTCTCGGTCTCACCATGGTTGAACCTGACACGGATCTGACCTCCTTGAGAGATTTCGACGTAGTTTGTCTTCTCTCTTCTTTGAGGCCTGGCCACATATCGCCCGCGTGTCTCGAGAACTTATCGACCTGTCTCACGTCGGGAGGATATTTGATTTGGGCTCGGAGCTCGGATATACCATCAGGTCATTTTACAGATTCGTTTGACGAAGATACCTGGTCGGAGGTCAAGGGAAAACTAAGCACCCTCGGCATCCTTTGCTTGGAAGAGTCATTCATCGAGCTGTTTGTGAGGGACAAGCCCGGAATGATTGGGGTTCTCAGAAAAATGTAGCGGAGGACACCGGCGCCAGTGAATAGAATCGCACGGTGAAACTCAAGGATTGTGGTCCGGGGGGATTATCTCTGTTGCAAAGCTCCGTTCTAAAATATGGACAGGGCGGTATCCATGTGCGACTCGGTCGATTCGCGCCGAGACAAAGTGAAACGAAAATGTGGAAGAAAACCGATTCTAATTGTAGGTCGATGCTCCAATTGTCCTTTCCCGAATTGCAACTCGCTGCTCGATTGGCGTCATTGAAAGGCTCCCCTGCTGGACTAGTCTTCCATAGCTCTCAAAGGAAAAAACTATCCAGATACAAACTCTGAGGAATGTCCCGACTTGAGTCGCCTTTATCCGAATCGCATACCCTTTTGAAGTCGACAGTCGATCGTCGCGAGGATATTTTTGGAAGAGCCTGCGTCTGCCGTGAATTTGGATTTATGCAAGAAATATTCCTCGTAAGCCATAGGGAGCACCTCGATCGTTCGTTCTCCTGCGAGACTCAATTTTTTGACCGTGTTCGGGCCAAGACATTCAAGATTTGACCATCATCTGCCTCAAGATTTCAATGCGAAAAGCGACCATCATTTGCGAGCTCTGTCTGTACAGCTCTCACTGTACAGCTCGGGTAGCAGGCGAGAGAAGCCGCCGAACCAGTGGGCAAATTCCGGAGAAACGATATCCGAGGATTCAACCAATAATTACTCGCAGTACGGAGGCAACCAGCACCGTGAGTCCGGTCAGCTGGCGCGAGGCGGCAGTTTTCAATCTGGAACTCCGAGTTTCACGTCGAAATTTCTAAAAGGGAGAGCAAGTCCCGAATGTCTCCTAGACTCCTAGTCCTAATCGGGTGAAGGAGGGTATGGTGCTTGAATTGTTCCCCCATGGCTCTAGGGATCGCCAATGCACGACTCAGGCCTATACTTGCATCAATCTGAAGCAGCCGCCCGAATTCGGCTGGACGGTTATGAACGCGAGATTCGGATCCGTTCTCCCATGATTCAGTGCATACAGCTATTCAGAGCAGCTCGAATTCAGCGAGGCTGATAGCCCATTCTCGGTAGGCGAAGACCTGATTGCGTGGTGCTTCATTGACGTTAAGCGCGAGAGGCAGCTGCAGGGGCTAAGAAGGATCGGGATTTCGGTTTGAAATCGTAGGCAGAATCCCAGGCTTATCGACTTTGCTGCTTTCGGAAACCTCCATGGACTTGAGCTCAGTCGACGGAGCAATCATTGGAGACATGAGGTGAAATCAAGATGTGTCGACAAGTGTAATCAAAGCGCGCTCGTGGTCCGCCTGACCGCGCTTCCGCTCGTTCAGATCTCGCACGCTGACACCTCGCTCCGAAGGATTGGCCATAAGTCTGACTCCTCTCGCGCCGTAAAACGTTGATCCCCTCATCTCATAGGATCGATGTTGAAATCAGGCTCCCACAATGCATTTCCGCGTTCGTGTTCTCCACATACGGCCCAGTCCATCTTTGAACAGCTCCCATTACTGGATATTTACGCCTCGGCGTGAAACGAACCACATCCGTGTCCCTCCGAGAGCCAGACACTAGCGCGTAGTCCGAGCAGGCTGATCGGACAATTTTAGGGAGCGTGGGGGTTCTCCAAATTGTGACGAGGTTCCGATAGCCGAGCATGGTCAGGCAGAAATCAAAATTCAGGGTACAGTCTCGTGAAGATGGCGCGCCCGACGGACGATGCTTGAAGATAGAATGAAGCTTGGTTTCGCATCTCTACCTGTCCACGTAAACAGTGAACCCACGCATCTCTCGGCTAAGAACCCCGGGTCGCTCCGCCAAGAACTGAGAACGGACTCCTCGATTCGGAGTCCCCACTCCTAGTATACCCCAAGCTAAGGTAATCCGCGAATGGGAACTCATATGGAGCACTCCGAGTGCTCGTATGGCCGCTCCTCTGAGGGTGATCTGATCCGTTGACAGATAGCATGCGAAGTCTTCTAAAAATCGACGGAGATCTCATCTCGAAACGATCAATCAATAGATTGCGATTCCGTTCGAGTTCGAGCGGCAAACTCGGGGCTCACTGTATGCCCTGGAATCCCGCATATAAAGCTCCTTTCGTTTCTCTTAGGACCCATGTTGGAGCGGATCTTCCTCCTCGTAGGTCCTAGAGGAGCTCCCCTGAAGAGTATTTGTCCGTGGAGGGTCTCGACCTCGAATCCACATATATGCCCAATGTCAAGAGCACGCAGCCAATATTTAGGGAGCGAGCGATTACCCGCGAGATCTCACATGGAAGGTTCTGTATCCCCATCCGTGCCGACTGATATTGCGCGGTAGGAGCGTCGATTCTATGGAGCCTTCGTGGGGTACGGGACTCCCCCGATCGGATATTTGATGAAGGCGGTCGGGCGAAGAGCGGGCTGGCCCGCTGCGAAAGGAATCCCTATATATCGGACTCGCCTAGTGATCTAGTATATACATGGGGGTCCGCAGAGAGGATTACCAGGCACTATAGACTCCAAAGAAAACAACAGGGGAAAGCTTTATGAGAAGTAATCAATCGGGGTCGCTGTCTTGTGAGAATTTCTCGGGGATTTCGAGAATCCACGTCGTTGGAAAAGATGCTGACCATTCCGTAGTACTGAGGCTGTCCGCTTTGTTTAAGACGGATTTTCCGTCCATGCGCAGGCCACATGTGATGCTTGACGGAATTAGCCTGATGTCGCTCCATTAGCTGCCAGCGGAAAGGCGGAAGTGAATGAGGTCTCCCGGGGACGTAATTCGCTCTCATCGTTCGGAGAACATGACTGCCTCTCGTGTAGACCGACCGAATCTTACAGCTCAGGAATTTGATCGAATGTTCTGCGACAGGTATCGGACATCGCGGTCCCTCGATGAGTGGCAAGTGTCGTCGGAAGCTACGCGACTTCATGCCCCGCTCTCTGATGCACAATACGAGATGGAAGATGACCTTGAAATCTGATGACGCCATGTTTCTAGTCGGTCATTATCGAAGGAGAATCCGAAAGCAGGGTCAGGGCTCTCGGGTCTCGATCCGCTGGCTGCTTGAGATGAGAGCGGATGAGAGCAGCGGTTGCCACCTGGGCGATCGTGGCCTACTGCGTCAGAGCCCGCGACGAGTACTAGGGAATATGGAGTCGAGCATTCTCTTCAGTTTGATCGAATCCTGAGAGGCAGTCAGGAATGACGATGCTGTCGCCTTCTCTCGGGTGAGGAACTCCTTGTTTCCTTCCGGGCCGACTCCGGAAAGCTCCTTTGAGGATGCAAGTGCAGAGTGCTCGACGTAAAGAAGCATGAATGGAAAAGAATCTCATTCCCCCAGATGTTCACTATGTCGCTACGCCTGTAGACTCCAGGGATTCGAGCTCTAAGCTCGTGTTCAACCCAAGACTCTGATGCGGGTGGAATTGAAGCCAGTCTTGACTCTGCTGGCTGTGTACAATGTGTAAGTGAGCCGACCGCGCGAGTTCGTACCCTCACTGCGCCAGTCATGACTCGCCCCTACCCGTTCGTAGTCTCTGCGACAAAACGAAGTACCAATAGGCAAGCTGGCGTGTCCTTGAGGTGAATCGATAGTCGCTGTTCCTCCGGATGGAGACGCAGAGTTGTCGATAAGAACTCCCTTCCCGATTTTCTGGTCTGAAAGTGAGCAATATATAGCTATTGCTGCCAGCTTGCATCGAATATCGTGGACTCCCGAGTTACGAACACGATTCATTCCGCAAGATGTTACCTTGTGCGTATCCTTGGTCAGGCGGTGACAAGTTTCTTTCTTTAAAGAGTGTTTACGGTACGAATCTTAACGAACAGAACTCCCTGAGCGTTCATATTGTCAACCTCCGCTCCGGCGAGCTGCGTGTCTTTTTGTGCTGCTCCCCCCCGCAAGCTAGCGAAGATGGTTTCTCCGAGCGCTCGTTGGAGATCGTGTGACGTCACTCGTCGGCGAGGACCAATCCGTAAGCGGGCAGCTGCCACGTCATCGGCGACGGCACGTGAAGAACACGTGTGGACGAGAGGATACAGCATACAGCGGAGAAAATTTCGTGACACCGGAGTTCCATATCATCGTTCGGAAGTCCTTAGTCCCGACACTGATTACATCCATGAAAATATGCCACTCTAGGTGACTTTGCCAGATGGGACCCTCCTCTTCGACCTCCGTTCCCACCAGGTTTCCGGCCGACTCAATTTTGAGCTCGGCTCGTCACGGAAGCTCAATCCCGGAGCAGGTTCACGTCAGCTCCGAGGACTGACTATAGTAAGCTTACTACCTGTCGAAGCGAGGTTAGCTCCCCCTCTGAGGAGAACACTCTTGCGGCGCCTGATTTATGGCTAGAGGGAATTCGTCGCCGACCACTCCGCCTTCCCCTTGTCAGCATCCGTGGAACCACCCGATCAACTCGAAATTTACGTCCGCAGAGCTGTGAATACCAACTTGAGCTGCGGAAGAGATCTCACCGCATGCGCGCGTTCGTATGGACCCCTATCTCGATGTGATTGTCAGACGAACAAGGTGTACAAGCACAGCCCTCGTGCCATTCAGCTCTTCTTCGACACGAAACTCCCGTCATAACCGACGAGTCGAAAGCGGAACCGTCTGAATTTGGGACAGTGTTGGATTATGGGAGCGGAATTTTTCGGAGCTACTGAGCATAGCAGCTGATCATCGAGGCCGCCTATCTCTTCGGTGCTTCTCAAATTGTGAGATGTCCGTGAGTATGCTTGCGGGCCCTGGGGGACCTTTTCGAGCAGAACGAGAATGGCACCGAGACAGACTTAAGTGTCATCATGTGTCCATGCGCTCTTCCTGAGGATGACGCCGGCCAGCGAGCGCCAGGATATCGGTGGGGATCCTCTAAGGCGTTCATATATCGGACGTGATTGAGTCTATTTCCCCAGAAGCTCACCGGCACAAGTGGCTCCGCCTGGTGAGGATACACTGCGATTTCCCTTCCCTCAGTCTCCCTCCTTCCCGCTCTGAGCTCTGAGCGAGCGGCGCGTGAAGATACAAGCGAGAAC